GAAGAAAAAAATTATATTCTTCCTCCCCACATACAATACAGATGTGTAGTGGGGTTTGATGTTTTGGAATGGGTTTTTGTACGTGTGTATTTTGGGCATTTTATTGTTCAGGGTTTTGTTTTGGTATTTTTGTTTGTTTGTTTGGGAGGGGGAAGGTTGTTTGGGTATTGGATTTGGGGGGATTTTTTTTTACTATTCAATACAGTTAACACCAAATTTTGTTTTTTCAGTGACGCAACTGACTACATTCACTTCAGTCAAATGCAAACTAATATTTTTAAGTAGTTGGTGTAACAGGCTTATGATCCCTACTTACTACAAAGAGATTATACCCTTGTCCCTTAATGCAATCAGGTTTTTAAAATGTACTTTTCATGAGTTTATGTTTTAGAATGAAAGCAATACCTGGTTTTCAACTCCAGAGAGGAATTCTTCCAGGATTGCTTCTCAACATAACTGAATAACAGAGTATTTGACTGGTGGCCTTTGTGTAATCAACACGTGTTCTTGTCACTTTGTGCTTCAGAGGAAATTAGAAGACATTTTCCTTTCATACCTATTTCCAGCCAATTTCCTCATCCTTCTCTCTTTTACACATGAGCAATTTTAAGCAGTGTAAATAACATTCTTTCCCCCCTTTTTATTTTAGGTTTCCTTCCCCAGCCCCCTACCATTATGATACTTTGTCTCCTCATCAGAGAATAGGCAGGAAATTATCCAGTGGCATTTTATATTCATTTTATCATTAGTCACTACTAGTTAGTTTATGTATTTATGCAAATTTATGTCAAAAGGAAATGTTTTTTAATCAGTTCACACATATCTGCAAAACTTAGGTTTCCAATAGCAAATTAAATAAACTCTTTCAGTGACCACTTACTCTTTGCAGGCAAAGTCCAGTTATGTGAGCATACCTAGACAAATGCACATGAACACACATCCATATAGAAAGTCTCCATTCTAATTATAGAATATTATCTGAAAATAAACATTAAAAAAAGTGTTCCTAGAAAAAAAAAAAAAAAAAGGAGAAGTTTCACAACTTGAGGCCAGAGCCTCAAGAGATACGAAGGCTATGCTGGTTTACACCTGAGGTGGAGGGGGTACAACTTGCGTCCACAAACCAAACATATCAGACCTGTCCATTTACAACTAGCACATAGAAAGGGGACGTCCTTTGCTTGCAAAGTCAAGTTTAAAAGGTGATGTTGCTGCTGATAGCAATTCATCCTATCTCAAATCTCTATCACAGTTACTGAAAAATAAAAAGTCTCGCCTTTTAACTATTTTTTTACTGTCTTTTTATCTTGAGTGTGCTGCATTACAGCAAAGACAAGGGGAGTTAGGAGTGTCTGAGCACAGTGCAGACTAGTAACCATGTCATTCAAAAAGTGACCTAAATCGTTAAATGCTTTTTTTTTGCACACCATCATCATTAAAACGCACCGCCTGCTTTCTGATACTGACTGAAACAAAGGAAAATCGGGAGTACCAGAACCTGCAGCACTCACATCTGCAGGAGAGCAGCGAGCACCGCAACAACAGCAGCAGCAGCAGCAGCAATGGTGAGGGAAAAAACCCTCATTTATAACCAGTGACAACTAAAACCTATGAAGTTTTTAAAAGAATGTGATTGTTGTCAAAAGGAATTGGGTACAACAATGCTGCGTTCAGCTCTGGTTCCACTCAAAGCCGTGGCTGAGGGGCTCTGGGAAAGCTGCTGGAAGGCTGGTGGGCACAGACCAGCAAGAAAGTGAATTTTGCATACTGTACGGATCATCGCTCAGTTCAGGGCAGTCATATTGAATCTGTGATCAACCAATTGTGCTTCATGAAACCGTCAGCCCTCATTTATGTCTAGCTGTTTTCTTCTGTCCTGCTGTAAACAAGCTATGCTCTGAGCTGTCTCCCTACCCTTATCTGCTTACGAAGATCACACAGACAGACCTCATCAGCAGCCTTAGAGTTAAAGTTAAAGTTACTGCTTCCAGACAGCAGTCCCCATGCAAGCTGGAAGTCAAAAAGAAGAGCAACTTTGGAATGACAGAGTTTTAGTTCCTTTTAGGAAATGCATACCTTAGATTCATACACATACTGGCATGTTATGTCTCTTTCATGAAATTAAATTAGGTGTTCCTAATATGAACAACTGTTTCTAACATCAGCAAACTAGCTCAGCAGATTCATCTATGCTTTTGTTTGTAGGTTGGTTGTCTTGCTGTTGGTTGTTGGGGGTTTTTTGGTGGGTTTTTTTTTGTTTGGTTTGGGGTTTTTTTTGTTTTGTTTTGTTTTTTTTCCTTTGAGGCCTTGTTTGAACACAACCAAAAGACAAGTATCTGGAGATATTGTCAGTCTGGTAGGGCTCCAAGAACCTAATAATTCCTGAAATGTTCTAAGGAGTGTAATGATGGTAAACAGGAACAGGTATGTTGGTTTCTGTTCTCATTCACTCCAGTGAGAGCATTAGCCTTTCAACATAAAGCAGAACACAGTTTTCAAAGAATGATCCTCTTGAATAAAAAGGGATGGAGCCTTACTAAACACATATTCCTCTGTGAACACACTCACACACACGCAAATGCTTTAGTTTGTATTTACAGCATTTAATTCTTGCAAACAGCTGCTAAGTCCCTGTTAAGTCTTTCCTTTATGCAGCTGGAGCTGAAAGCTCTTCCCTTCTCCTAGACTATTACTTTGTCTATTTAAGGGATGGTAGCCAAAGAGAAACAGCTTGTAATTTGCACCTGTCAGCTTTAAGCACTCCATGTTAGATTTTGCAGAGAGTAAACTCTTCATTGCTAAAGAGAATGACACTTCTTAGGGTCAAAAATGGTTTTTGAGCTGACTCTGCAGCAATTAATAAATAAACAAATAAACCTCCACTTTGTTTAAGCCTATTCTAGCTAGACAATAAGGCAAAAGGAAAAACCCTGTTGTAAAAGAGTACCTCAGTGTGTAGGTAGAAGATGTAACCCCATGTGTCTAGTCTAATATAATACCAGGCACAGCTAAACATGATTGAACCTGTACGCTGGCCACGCAGGAGCACATGGGAGAGCTTTGGCTTCTTCCCCTATAAAATTCAGAATTGTTTCAGAAAACAATCAGGTGCAAAGAGTCCTTCTGAATTTCTACAAACTGGGGTGCCTTTTGAGGGCTCACAGTAAGCTTTGCCACCTAGAGGGTCAGGCCTGTGAGAAAATTATTTTCATACAACTAAAAAGAAATATAAGCTCCACTCCTGATCCAGAGATGTGAAAGCATTGCTATGCAGAGTCCCACTAGCTGGAGTGTAAAGCAGTGAAGGTGTACATCAAGGAAGTAACCCACGTATGATCTTTCAGTCATACACAAACTATCTTAGCGTTTTTGCTTCTTGCTAGAAAACAAGTGCTTTCAGTCAACTGCAGTATCATTTACAATTGCATTTAAAGAAACAACAATCTCACTGGTGTATTCATTTAGTTACTGAGAAGTAGGCTTTTCATTGCTTGCTCTTAAAATAGAAAAGCCCTCAAAAAACTCAAGCTGCAGAGCTGATGACAAGAACAAAAATGCCAGGGGTGAAAAAAAACCTAGAAGGGAAATAGAGTAAAACACACAATTTATTAAAGAAAACATTGGTGCTGCATTTTGATTTCATAAATTGTCCCCATTTGTACTTCCTGTTTAAACAATAACTAACATGATGATGGGTTAAATGAAGTTGAGATTGTCACAAACATGGCCTCACTAGTAATTAATGTAGTTTAATATGGTTGTTGGCACACATCTCACATGACAGATAATGTTCCAACATGTCACTGATAGGACCTTTCAGCACAGCTTTAGGAGATCTACCAGGCATTGCCGAGGTTGGTTGGGTCAAAGGGTTGAACCATGTGTAATTCAGAACAGAAGAGGTCCCACGGTCACTCCACAAAAACAATTACACTACTTATTTCACTCCATCCCTTGCCCGAAATTCACAAGCCTCACAGTTTCAGCGCAGTCAATCTCACTCTGCCCTGGGGCTATGAGCCACATGAAAATATGTGCTGCTGTGTTTATAAATCTAATCAAAAATAGAAACAGTAGACAAGCACAATGAGGTCCTACTATGGATCATGGGAATTCTCTAAATTCTGAAGGCACTTTTGTTTAACTTCTCTGGGCCTTCTCCTACCATTACATTGTCTGGTACTCTCGTTAATCATCCCCTTGACTTGTCAATGATATAAAGGAGCCTATACGTCTGCTGACTTCCCTCCCATCACACTACAAATAATATTATGAAATAGCAACGGTAGGAATAGTCCCTTTAACTTTTCCTTTTCAAAGCGTGGTTTTTCTTCACTTACCTCTTTCTCCATGCCAGTCTGCCCTTTCGCAGACCTGCAGCAAAAAATGCTTCCTCCTGCAACAAAGGAAAGGCAGCATATCTGAATTTTCAGTCTGCATAGTTATTAATACCACTAGGTTTAACAGACAGACTAGCAGAGCACTAGCCTAGAAACCTGCCAGGATAGGAGGTGGAGGGGGGTCCTTCCTGATACTGTCCCTACTCTGACCTTGCCAAAGAGCAAAGGGAGGATATAGAGCTGTTTTGTCACTTTATCTTTTTGAAAACAAATTTGCATCAGATCACGAAAAAAAAAAGCTAACAAATATAAACAAAAAACCCACCTAATTTAAGCTCCTATGAAGAACTCCAACAAAAACAAGGTTTTGAGTGGAAGTAGCCCAGAAGTAGATAATTCCTACCCCCAGACAGTAAGTACTAAAATGACTCAGAGTTTGCTGTGGGATACACCTTATCTGAAGACTACAGTACCAAAGCTGTCAGACTCAGGAAGGCTTCTGTGATGTGGTATTTCTCTGGGTCCCATTTGTGCCTTATTCCTTGTGCTGTGATTTCCATTAAAAGGAAGAAAATTGTCCTCTACTTTGAAGTTATAATTAAGCAAACACACAATAACTTTACAAGTTATATATCATATCAGCAAAAATGCCTCAATTTTATACCAGCTACTTTTTTCTCTATATGGGAATAAAATTTATTCATTCAAAATGGTTGGATAGGTTGCCCCTGCATTCACTGAAATCAATGGCAACTCAGTCTGACTGCACTTGCAGCACCTGAATCACAATGAATAACAAGTTTCTTCCTTTGCCAGCTTTTCCTTTATGCATTTACACAAACATACATTCAGATTATTTTGCTGAGCCTGAAAACAAAACAAGATATGAAACAATTAAAAATATCCCTTCAGAGTCACTCAGAAGCTCTAGTTGACCTTCTGGGTCAGAAGATGCCCTGTACAGAGTACATGTTTGGCCCCAGTTGAGGAAACCCTCTCTCCTGAGGGCACCCAGCAAAGAAGTGCCTAATTCTGAGTACACACTGAAATTTCATTGAAATCAATACAATGGACAGTGGAGAGGGCCACAAATACTCCATGGAAAAAGGCTGCATTGTCGCTCTAGCTGCTCAGTAATGAATGAAGATCTGAGCTTTTGCTGATGCTGAGAGCCTACTGACCTTTGCCATCACTTCTCGATTTTGGTGCCCTTCTTGGGGTGCCAAGGCCATTGAAGCAATGCTGGGGGCTGCAATTCCAGCAGCTCCCATTCTTCCTACAGCCAGCCCTGCCCAAACAGCCTCTGCACCATAGCCCATGTCCGTCACAAAAAACATGCTCTCTGCTCCGTGGTATTATGTGATATTAAAAATAAAGCCCCAGCAAGACCATGCAGGTAGGCTCGGGTCATGTAACTAGTCGTTGTGTCTCTGAAAACAACCCCAGAGTCCCAATTCCAAAATCTGGGATGAGTTTCCAGGACAAGGTAGTATCTGCTTTACTTTTCCAGCTACTGGAACTGTACCTCCACTGAATGCAACAGGTAACTAATTTCAAGCCCAATGGTATGGCATATTCCTTGTTATGACTCAAACAGGAGCAGCAAAAAGGAACCATTTGTATGAATCAAAGGCAATAAAAGTTTGAAGGGGCTCCTTCCCTTTTCAAAGGACAATTGCAAGAAGCTGTCAGCAGAAGAGAACTGATCAAGAGATAAGCTGTAAATTCAATGTTTTCATCCATGGTCAACCTCTGCTCATTGGAGAGGAGACAAAGATGCAACAACAAGAACTTCCAAAGCCGTAATAGTCAAAGGAATCTAAACATTAATGGAAAGACTTGGAGTTTCATCTTAAAGAGTGTGGTTGACCAAACAAGGACAGCACAGACAAAGATCGCAGAATCACAGAACCAATTAGATTAGAAAAGACCTTTGAGATCATCGAGTAAGATAGATAAACAATGAGTTCAGAGGAGATATTAATAACATTAGTGCCTAAATAGTGATTTTCTTAGAGTTTGGGAACTTCCTATTATTTGGGTTTTCTGGGATTTTTTTTCATTAGTTTGCTTGGGTGGGGGACACTTTGGTGTGTTTTTTTAAATGAAGGTGCTAGACATCGTTTTTTCTTTATTCTTTATGATACCAAACAGGCAACACATTCAACACTGCATTAACTGATGTTGACTGTGGCCTTACTTAACCTCACCAGCTTATTTTCTTTAGCTGGATAACAGCTGAATCATTAGCATCAAACTAGCTTGCAGTCCTGAAAGAGTACAGTAGAAAGAGAGTACATGATTTTTCCATCAATCAAAACACAACATAAAAGATATTTGAGATCCCACCAGATATTTTATTTTATACCCAGTTGATGTGTTTTGCATGATTAAGGGATGAACTTCAGTTACTTTTAGGTACATTTGTAGTAAAATGGCAAAGTAAAACTACTACTTAGACATTCTTAAATTGGATACCTTCACCTTTTTTTTTATTTTTTTGTCCAATTATGCTTTATTTTCTACTAGAGGAAAAACTAAGGATGCTAGATTAAGTTGACAAGATATATTAATAACTTTCTGTAGTGAAAGTAATCTATTTTTAATGCAAAAATGGAGGAATTGGAGAACTGAACAAAAATAACTCTTAGCGCCACAACTCCATTAACAAGCTCCCACCACCAGTCCCACATCCAGAAGAGATCAAAATAACACACCTTTCCACTGGAGCATGCTCAAGTGCATCTTTCTCACAGTAGTGGATATTTTATGCTGTATCAGCTACTAGAAATGACTTGGACTGCATGAAAAGCCAGAATACAATAAGGGTCTTGCAAATGTAGCTGTAAAATATACTGTTTTCACCATGCTGGTATGCAGAGGGGAAAAACTGTCCTGTTTGTAACCATGTACCCAGCATCTCCTTAAAGTACACCCAAATGCACAGGCACATTATCGCTGGCCAAGGAAAGCAATGCCAGGCTCAGTTAAGGTGTTGGTGATTGCTGGCAGAGAAATACCAGGTTCATAGCAGGAATAGCAAAGCAACAGTCTGTCATCATGGTGGCTGTCTTCGCTCCTTTCTCACCTTCACCTGGTACACAATTTATCACATGATAAGAAGCAGTGCTGTGGGATCTCTGTGCTACAATATCAGCAGAAACCACTGAGTAAATGATAACCCTAACAACCTATTTGTAATTCCCTTTGGACTCTCTCATAAATACCAGGTAGCCAGCAATGGTCTTTAAGAAGTATTTCTTCAGGGGAAAATTGCACCTCCAGTGCAGAGAATCCATCAGTCACTTAAATTCAGCAGGACTGACCTTTGAAGCCACAAGCACTGTGCTTATCCTTCTTTCATCATCAATTTTGGGAGCAGGTCCTTCAAAGTAACCTCAGATCCATTCTATACTTTCCCTTTTTTTATTTTTTTTAATTTAAAAAGTAAGAAGCTTACTGCAAATATGTCTTTATAAAGATCATTAACACACTCAAAATTAAGATCACATTCAATTACTTGATAGGTTGTGATGTTCCTAGCTTTTTTCTGTGTGCCTGAAAAAATAGATAGATACATGATTTTTCTATTGATAAACCTATCAGTAGGCATCTAAGCATCACTCGCCTGCTCACTCACTCTCTCTTCCAATGGAATAGGGGAGAGAATCAGGAGGGTAAAAGTGCAAAAACTCAGGCAGTTTGGAATCATAAAATATTTTGGATTGGAAGGATCTTTAAAGATCCTCTAGTTTCAATCCCCCTGCCATGGACAGGGACGCTTTTCCTAGACTAGGTTGCTCAGAGCCTCATCCAACCTGGCCTTGAACACTTGCAGGGATGGGGGATCCACAGCTTCTTTGTGCAACCTGTTTCAGCGTCTCACCACTCTCACAGTAAAGAATTTCTTTTTAATATCTAATCTAAACCTACTCCAGTTTGAAGCCATTCCCATTTGTCCTGTCACTACATGCTCTTGTAAATAGTCTCTCTCCATCTTTCTTCTAGAGTCCCTTCAGGTACTGGAAAGTTGCAGATAGAACACCTTGAAGCCTTCTCTTTTTCAGGCTGAACAAACTCAATTCTCTCAGCCTTTCCTCATAAGAGAGGTGGTCCATTGCTCTAATCATCTTGGTGACCCACCTCTGGACTTGATCCAACAGGCCAATGTCTTTCCTGTGCTTAGGTCTCCAGAGCTGGATGCAGCACTCCAGGTGGGGTCTTATGAGAGCAGAATAGAGGGGTAGAATCACTTCCAATGACCTGTTGGTCATGCCTCTTTTGATGCAGCTCAAGATACAGTTGACATCCTGGGCTGCCAGAATTTATTTTTTTAAAGAAGGAGCAAAAAAAAAAGCGGGGGGGGGGGGGGGGGGGGGGGGGGGGAGGGGGAAGGAGAGGGAGAGGAATGAAACCACAAGAAAAAAGTGATGCAAAAGAAAACAATTGTTCACCACCAACTGACTGATGTCCAGCCAGTCCCCAAGTGGCTTTCACCCACACCCCTCACTTCAGTTTTATTGCTGGACATGACACCATATGTTATGGAATATTCCTTTGGTCAGCTGGGGTCAGCTGTTCCAACTCTTTCCCCTCCTAACCTCTTGCATAGCCCCAGCCCACTCACTGATGGGGTGGTGTGAGAAGCAGAGAAGGTCTTGACACTCTGTAAGCACAGCTCAGCAATAGATAAAACATCCCAGTTATCAACACTCCTATCACAAACCAAAAATATAGCCCCATAAAAGTTGCTATAACAAAATTTAATCTCAGCCAAAACCAGTACATCACATCATGCTGGTAATTCCTGTGGAAGTAGCAAATACCAAATTTTAGTTTCTGTGCCACCATTCCAATATTCCCATTTCCCACCAAATGGAAAGCACCACACACTTCAGAGTCTAGCTTCAGAGCTGCTTATGGATAATCATCTCCTGATGAAGTCACAGGGCTCATGTTTGAGAGTACTGAAATTTTTAGTGATCATCATCTGACAGTACGGGGAGAGGAGTGAAACCAGCCCCAGCCTGGACAAAAGGCTTTCCAGAATGG